TGAACATTTATTTGCATTTAGCATTCAGCTGCTTCCTCATAAAAGCATCAGTTGTGTTAGAGTGACCATCATATAATGTTCACTCAATAAGTTCATGTAGCAAATTTGTTTATTTATCAAACAAATTCATCCATAAGTATCAAAAATAAGATTTTTTTGGGGGTATATTGAATCCGTAAATTCGGAAAGGAACACCTTATTGGGGATATTGAAACAGGGATTTTGCGAGAAATGGTTTTTGGAAAATAATTTCGAAGTTCACACAGGAAAGAGTTTCCGGGAATTTTATTCTGAGAGATAGATTTCTTGGGTCTATTTCATCTCATCCTTTCATCTTTTCGGGTATATTTTTGGGTATTCGAAAGGAACACTGTTTCGGGAATATCCGAACTGGGATTTTCAAAGAAATCTTTTTTGGAAGGTCAATTTCAGAATTTTATGGAAGAATGAATTTTCGGAAGTTTTTCTCCCAGCTACTCAGCTACAGATCACCGTCCTACTAGTACCTGATGTTACCCAACTGTGCAGAGCTTAAAACTGTGCTTCAGTTCACTCAAATACTTCGAGTTTTTGACGATGTTTCAATTGCATCAATTGTTCATCTATGCTCTCTCGCTCTCCAATGCCACCGAGATGAGAAAACCTTTGACACGTGTTGCTCTCTCTATCTTTGTGTTGCTTTCGTATACGCCCATTGGCTATTTCGGACAACGTCATGAAATCAACTGCAAAATGCATGTCAATGCTAACCGGAAAATATTATGTGGAAGGTGCATTTTGTTTAAAGTGCTGCGGTTTGCAGAAAATGCTCTTTTTTTACAGTCTCGACGCTATTTTATACATTACCTGCTCTTTTTCAGATCGACTGATGATTTGAATGTGTTTCAGTTGGTTGATACTGTTAACTGAAAGAGTCAGAGAGAAGTATTGAGAGGTTTCTGGAATGATGAACATGTTGGAATTGTTCGGTTTCGACACATCATCTCCATTGAATCGATCTCAGAAAATACATCGAGGTGATTTCTTTTGTATTCATTATTTGTATTATCTTTTGTACTCCAAATCACTGCATTTATTATTTGAAAAATGTGAAAATCCCTTGTGGATTTGTTTTCCTGATGTCTTTGTATCGAATTTTGATGGCACTCATCTCCCAGTTCACGTTTTGGTGTGCAATTCCGTGTAGTTCATTGACTGGACAACAGCAACAGCAGCAGTGAAATGTTCGCTCGTATCGTTATCATGATTAAAAGAATTTCAGAAAATGAAAGGTCCAATTTACTGATCGTAACGCGTTTGGTGTTGAGAACGTTTCTGGAGGAAACGATGAAACTGCGCCATCGTATGCTCGAAACCGACACACAGCCACTTGCCGATCTGTTCATGATGCTTGAGAAGGTATTGTGGCATGGATTCAAGAGTACAGGTTTGTGTGTCACGATTCCCGTATGATGATTTTTCGAGAAATTCTTAAATCAGGTCGTCCGATTCGTCAGTTGATTGATTTACCACCATTAAATTCTCATTCAACAGGGGCTGGTATCTTTGGTTTTGAGAGGAATTTTTGAAATGTGCGATTCTGACAAAAATGATTTCTTGAATCAGTTTATGATAATTTCTGATTTTGACAGTTTTCGACTTTTCTGTTTTATTCAGTATGTTCACTTACAACCTATGTATGATGATAGAATATGATGAATTTAAGAAAGTGATTGATGAATTGTGCATCTGATGACTCATAAGAACCGTAATGCATGCATGCACAGGGCGATCGCCGATAAAATTTCTTGAGATTCAGTAGCTGTTCTAGAGCAGTCATGATACTGAATGCTTATGTTCAGCTCATCGAACAATGATTGCGCTACGGTCGCCAGATGCTGAATTGTGGGCATGCATTGGACGAATAGCCAGTACGCATGCAGATATGAACGAGTGTTATCAGTGTATAACACAGCTCGGGAATATCACGTTGGTTTAACATTCATCAGTCTATTATAAATAGTTCAATTGTTATGGATTCACACATTTAACAATTTAAACAAGATATAAGAAAGCTCGTCGTCATAGTTTTGTTCAGCTTACTAAAGATAAACTGCAGTTTCGTTCTACCGAATGTAGAGAATTCAGCACTATCCGTTTGATGAAAGATTGAAGTTATCACTGTTTCTGATTGAGGTTGAATTCGTGCAGAAGAATTACGAGAACTAGTAGCTGAAGATTTTGGAAAGGATTTCTTTTGTTTTCAGTACTCCAGTCGCTCGAATACGTGCAATGTTAAGGCTAGGCGTAATGCAAAAGAAACTTGCTGATTATTTTCAGCACATGCAGTCGTCGAAATATCTAAAGTATGTTTGCATCAATTCGTTTTTGTGATTGTTTTTCGAAGTTTTCTCTCGTTCTTTTAAACTCTTCTATAGTAGTTTTTAAAGTTGAGTCAGAAATATGAAAACTCACGTATATTATCCTTTTTAATGAATGTTTGATAAAGCGCTTGGCTCACATTTGTTCTCTTTAAATATTGAAGCTTATAATGGTCATTTCCAATTGTGCGCTAAAACTCCAGTTGTAATATGAGAATCGCAGTTAGCATAAACATCTATTGTATTATGTGTTGAATGAGATGAAATTCAAATAAACATATGTGGATGTTATGTAGGGAATATTATGAACCGTGGGCGTTGATACGACAAGAAGAATGTGTGAGCTTATCGGGTGCACTCGTCGGTTTATCCGTGCTCGACTGCAATTTGCTACTCGATCAAGATCATCTACAAGAGCAAACGCCGTATGTCAGATTCGTTTCCTTAACTTAATTGGTCATTTTGAATTATAAGTGTTCGCCGAGGCATTCACCAAATTGATGATTTATCATTGAAATGTGAATGTTTGCATTTGTGTAAAGGGAATCGAGTGTGTTTTGGTTCAGAAAAGCTTCCAGCTCTTCTTGTTTAGTGAATCGTAATTGAGTTCATTAAGGTAAGATGTGGTAATAGTGAATTTTTGATTTTGTTCCTTTGAATCTTTGTTTCAGTTCGATTGATCTAGCTGCCTACATACGTTTGCCAACAAT